TATATATATATATATATATATATATGTATATATATATATATGTATATAGAGATATATATGTAGATATATAGGTATATGTGTGGTGGTGTGGGGGCGTGGGGGGGCGAGCGGGCGGGGGCGCGTGAGAGCGTGAGAGAGGGAGAGATAGAGAGATGTGGGTATATATATATGGAGATATATAGATATATATAGATATATATATGTAGATATATATATATATATATATATATATATATATATATATATATATATATATATATATATATATATATATATATATATATATATATATAGTTAATAGTGGCGTGCACTCAAGATAATTTGAACCCCCTATATTTAGGTCCAAAATCCACACCACCTCAACTTTATATATACATATATATATATATATATATATATATATATATATATATATATATATATATATATATATATATATATATATATTATATATATATATAGCGGCCCACATAAATAGTGTGTGCGCTCTCTCTCTCTCTTCTCAAAACACACACACACAGAGACAGATTGTTCTGCAATGGAGTTGGGCAGCATTGTTGAGTTCCTGGAGAATAGGTCCATTCTTGTAACTGGTGCCACTGGCTTTCTTGCCAAGAGTACAATTTCTTTCTCTCTCTCTCGCTCTTAACAAAAAAATCTTTTGAGTGACCATCTATTTTTCATATAGTTAGGTAAAAAATGTTGTCACTATGTTTGTCGCTAATGCTCTATAGTGACAATAAATAAGGATTAAGTGACGATAAAAAGAGCTATTAATTAGTGACGACAAAAAAAATACTATCACCTAATATATATATGCAATATATGACAACTTTTGCATGCATTTGTCACAATTGGGATGTCGCTAATGCAACTTCTCAGTATCGCTAATGCAACTTTTTCTCGTAGTGGATTTCTCTCTTCTCAAAACGGACACACACACACTCTGTTAATTAACATATACACATACGTATATTATGTATGTACGTATATGTATGTACATATGTACTAGGTTAATACATCTTATAGCTGGTGATTATATATTTACAATGTTTGATTTTTATTACAGTATTTATTGAGAAGATACTTAGGGAACAACCAAAAGTGAAGAAGCTTTATCTTCTTCTGAGGGCTGCAGATACAAATTCAGCCATCCTGCGCTTCAACACTGAGGTATATATACATATATATATATGTGTGTATGTATATATATTAGCATCACGATTAATAATTAATTAATTAATTATACGTATACGTATACGTAAACTGCAGGCAATAGCGAAGGATTTATTCAGGGTTCTGAAAGAGAAAAATGGGGGAAATCTAAGTACACTTGTTACGGAGAAAGTAAGAGTTGTGGCTGGAGATATTACTTGTGATTATTTAGGTGTCAAAGACTCTCTTTTATTCGACGAAATGTTGGAACAACTCGATGTTGTCGTTAACTTAGCTGCTAATACCAATTTCGACGAAAGGTACGTTGATATATACTCATTTACGTTTTAATCAAAATTCGACATATTATTTCACAAATACATAAATCTTAATTAATATTTCATATTTATTAGAAATATGATATATGTAGCATCATGTAGTGGCGGATCCTTACAATTTTGTAAGGCAAGGCGGTTTTTTTAGGAAATAAAAATTTTCAGGGTTGGAGGCAGCGGCCTGAATGTTATATATATATATATATATATATATATATATATATATATATATATATATATATATATATATATATATATATATATATATATATATGGAGGATACCTTGATCGTCGTTTGCATGTGCAACGATGGCGGCTATCATTGACATAACCACCATGTCTGCCGGGACCTGCATTAAATAAATAAAATGAATGATTATCTGAGATCGAGATCTTATATATTCTAATTCGGTTCCTAACATAACAGGACCTTTCGA